ACCCAGGGAGTGAGAGATGGCGGGAGGTGTGAGCACAGGGGCCTGGGGAGGAGAGCTGCACCTTGAGTCCTGCTTCCCCTCCTGCTGCTGCTCTGACCCCCTGGACGAGCTGGGGAGATGACCCCGGGAAGAGCAGGTACTGGCAGCGAGAGCTGGAGCCCTGGGTCTCCTCTGACACCTTCCCTGCTCAGAGCACTCCCTAGGAGCCTACATACACTTCCGCCGTCTCTTTCATGTCCCCCGGAGTCAGAAGGGACCTCAGGTCTCTGCCTCCGCCACGACTATAAATAGGCAGTGTTTACTGGAGGGCCAGTGCCACCTCGAGCGAGGCCGGGTCCAGGCAGGGCCTGGGGGAGGAGGAGGAGGAGCCACAGCCTCGCAGGGCTCCTGCCCACGGACGGTGGCCACACAGGAAAGGACAAGGGAGTGCCACCCCTCAGGTCCAGGCCCCCCGTGTGCCAGAGCAGGCCCCTCACCGGGGTCTCGCCCCGCAGATCCCCTGAGCGGTGCAGTGACAAGGAGAGGCAGAAAGGTGAAGATGGAATGTTCCACAGGCCCATCCGGGGCTCCTGGGACAGCGCCACGGTGGGAGCCCAAAGGGCATCACGGAGTTCACGGCCCTCTGCCTCCCTGTGCTGCTGAATCTGCACCTCAGTTTTCTCATCCAGCAAGTGGGGCAATGGTCCCAGCAGGCTGGTAGGGGAGGCGAGCGCATGCGTATGTACGCTGCTCCCTACGGCACCGGCCTGCTCTGGCCCTCAGGGCCTGAGTCTACTTTGCATTCCCTCGCTGGATGCCCTCCTTGGGCCGGGCCTGCAGGCGCGGGGGGCATGGGGGCCCAGACACAGTTCTCCTGGGGTCCCCCTCCCCGTGCTGACAGAGGGGGAGGCGCAGGAGCAGGGGCGCAGCTCAGGGAGGCAGCAGGTGGCAGAGGGGAAGGCCAAGCTTCCCTGGAGGGTGAGGACCTGCCAGGAGGACGCAAAGGGCCCTCCCCAGGGGGAGCACTCCCGCTGGGCATCCCGCACCCAGGGCGCAGACGGGTTAACTGGGTTCCGCTGTCCCTACTCCTCATGCTGGAGCACAACCAGCAGTCTGGGTTTCCAGCTCCCCTCCTGCTTCAAGGCCAGGCCTTATCTTGTCATCTAGCCTGTCCCCAGAGTCTCAGAGGTAACGCAGACAAGGCAGGGGCAGGCGCACAGCGAGAGCATAAACTCTGCATTGGAAACTACACCCAGGAGTGCCAGAAAACACCGGAACCTGCTCTCCACCACGGGGAAGCCCTGTTCAGGTCCCACGTGCCAGTGAGAATCTGGAGATGCCCCTCTGGGCTCCCACTTCCTGCAGGCAGGGGACCTTAAGCAAGGAACCTACTGGAGCCCCAGAACTGATTCCCAGAGTCTGCCCCACCCCCAGCCAGCAGACCCTGCCTCCTGAGCCGGTCACCCCAGCTCCCCAGGGCCACCGGCCCAGCTTTGGATGCTCCCCAAGGGCCCGGAGAGACACTGCTCCTCCAAACTGTAGCCAAAACCAAAAACCCCCATCTCCTTCCCCACCTCCATCCCCCCACTACTCAGACCAGTGTCCTTGGTCCTCCGGGCCCTGCAGATGGGATGTGAATTTAAGTGGGGCTTCTCCATCGTTCATGGTCCTAAAGGGGCTGACAACTGAGGTCACAGATGTTAGAGTCAACACAGACGCATCACGGAGATCCTTTCTGCAGTCAGAGGAGTGCCGGCCTTGGGGCAGCTGGGGCCCAGGGCACCTCCTCTAGGAAGGTTACTGGTTTGCCCCTGGGGCAGAGCGGTCCTTTAGGACTTGGCCCTGGGCAGAGGAATTCCAGCCAGGCCCTGCGCCTAGGGGCAGACTTCCAACCATCCTTCTAAGCAGATTAAGGTATGGCGTTGTGTGGGGGGGGGGCGGGGGGTGCTCCCATCTTCAACAGGGGCCACAGCCCGCAGGTGGCTTCAAATGCCACAATCGTCAGAAGCCACAGGTTCAGAGGAACAGCGCCTGGAAGCCACGGCCGGCTGTGCTGAGCGTGCCCTTTCTGGGCCCGCTGGACCTGTGTCCCCCTCCCTCCGCCCACGGTGCCTGACAGCCGGCCGGGGGGCTGGCGTGCTCTCCCTTCCCAGCCTCGCCGGCAGGTGCGGCCACGGATCCAGTGCAAAGTGCTAATTATACATTTTTAAAATCCATTTCCAAGAGTGAGCTAATAACTGCACCCGAGAAGCGGAGTTCACTTACGGACCACGAGTGCCACCAGAGCCCGCCTGCCTCACTGACGGGGCTCAAAGTTGCAGCGTGCTCGAGAAATCGCTCAAGGTTAGATTAAAAACAAGAACACCCGTGAAGATTCACCTGACTCATTCATATCGCCGTCCAATAGGAGACAGCTCCTCGAGGGCCTGGCTTGGGGCTGGTTTTTGTTCTAGGCCTAGGAGGACCTTAATTTGCATTTATATTAAAAAAGAAGAAAACAAAAAAAAAAAAAAAAAGAAGAAAACAAACAGAATTAGCTAGAAAGGTGCTTTGTTTCCCGTAAATCTGAGCTCTCCTGCTAAACATTGTCCTAAGGCAGCCGGCACGCACTTGGCCTCTGCAAGGGAGCGTGGATTCACACCTACTGTGCGCAGGGCGTCCTACAGGCAGTGGCAAGCGCCCAGGGGCCCACCAGCCCTCAGCTTCAGCCTGGCCGGCGAGCACTGTCCCCGGCTCCTTCTACAGGTGCGGACGCCGCACTGGGAAAAGAGAAATGACCTGTCTGGGTCCTCCAGGGTGACCAGACTTGGGCTGCAAGCCAGCTCCCTGGGCTCCAAGCTCAGGTCGGGGAAGCTAAGTAAAGGCAGTGTTCTCTTCCTTGTCCTTACATATGTACTCCAAGTTTTCTTTCCAGAAACTCGGGTGGAAACTCAAGGAAGGGAGGGAGAAGTATCCACAGCCATCAGGTGCCCCTCTGGTCCTGGACGACAGAAGTCCCACCCGTGCACCCCCGCTGAACTAACGGCCTCCATCTGGCCACACGCTCCTTGACTTTTCTCTTTGGAGCCTTGAGTGTTGGAAGCACGTGCCCGGAACTACCAATAAGGATTAATAAACACCCCCTGATGGGAACCTTGTCAGTCTCCCTATTTCCTTTTTCAGGTAAATGGGAGCATCTTGAGGTTTGGTTTTCCCTCCAATCCTCTCCTCAGTGTTGTAGCTCAGCACGTGAGACCAGCCACGGGTCTCCAGGGCTCATGTCAGTCCTGGGGCTGGTGTGCCCGCAGATGTCACCTGCTTTGGGGCTAGATCACTAAAGGCATGTTTAGGGAAGGATGGGTCTCTCCCCCGGGGCCATCAGTGCTGGAGGCATATTTCTCACCCTCGGGCTCACAGCCAGTGGGACCCTGTACCCCCAGGATCACCACCACGTGCACCCAGACACTGCGACCGCACCTCGGGCTGCAAGTTGGAAGACAAGCATGACGGCGACGACTGCCTGGCCCTTTCAGAGGCTGGAAGCACAGGTGGGGGAGGAAGGACTTTTCTGCGTTTTGGCGGTGGGGTGTGGGGGGGGTGCCAAGCGCGTGGGGCCGGTGGGCCCAGAGCTGGTTACATAGACAACAGAAGAGCGGTTTCCTTCCAAAAACATAAAAACCTGCACCAATGAATTAAACATTTCAGACAAGATGACTCCCTACAAAGTCTTCTCCACCAAGAAGCCGAGACAGGCCGTCCTGTGTTGGCGCTTCCTGTTGCATATGGTACTGAGCAATCCTGCTTTTTCAGCAGGCAGAGCTTTCCAGACAAAGAAAAATAGCAAGGGGAAAATTAGAGAAGGAGGTCCAGAGGACTCAGGGCGGAGGGAGGAGAGAAGTGTGAGCAGGAGGAGGCCTCATCTCACAGCGAGGGGGCACAGGGAACTGGACTGGCCCAGAAAAGAGGCCACGGGAGCCAACACAGTGGCCCTGACAGGTCCACGGAGATGTCCGTGCAGAAGGAGGGTGCCACGGGGGGGGGGGGGGGGGGGAGGACAAGTTGCAAACCACAGAAACCACAGAGATGCCACCCTCCCTACTGCCACATCCACTGGGGCGAAGTGACCTGATCCAGTTCCCAAGGGTCTCAAAATGTCACACCTGCAGGATCTCCAAACCCCCTGACCTCAGTGGGGGCACTGCCCTAGGCACCTCTCAGAGGCTTTGCTCCGTGGAAGCGCCCTGGGGAGAGGGAGCCACAGGAGTCCCCAGGGCGCACCAACCGGACTCCCTCCCCAGACCAGGGCTGAACCTCCCCAGTTTCCAGGCAGCAGGCACACTTGCCTTCCCCACCAGCACGGCCTGGGGGTGGACAGGTTCTGCCCTCCTCCCGCCCTCCATTGCCCTCTCAGAGCGGTTCACGGGGCTGCCACCCCCACCCCAATCACCAGAGAACAAACTCTCCCCCCCACCCCCCACCCCCGGGGTCCTGGCACGACCAGGCTCCAGAATTCCAAGAGGAGCCAGGAGGAAGGAAAGCTGAAATCTGGGCTCAGACAAGACGAGCCTTGCGAGGGTCCCCCTCCGCGCGAGTCCCTCTCCGTGCCGCGGAGCCAGGCCAGCCCTCTCCAAGTCCCGGAGAGGTAGTAAGTGTAAGGCTTGGAACCCCGCGCAGCCCAGCCCGCGCTGGGGCGGTGGGTGGGTGGGTGTCTGCTCTGGGATTATTCTTAGCGCTCCACTCTCTTCGCAAAAGTGGCGCCTCCGCCCTCCAGGCTCCGGCACGCTCGCTCGGGGCTCGCACGCCCGGTCCAGACACCGGCGCGGAGCGCAGCTCCGGGTGGGGTCCGCGAGGGGAGAGGTTCGGAGGCGCAGGAGAGGCGGGGGCTCCGGAGAGAGGAGGGGGCGCGGCGGGAGGGGCCCCCAGGCTACAGGCTGCGTTTAACCCTCGGCGCCCCGCACCCAGCCCTGCGCCGCGCGCTCAGCCGCCTCCCCGGACTCCTCCCGGGGCGCGGGGAGCCCGGCGGCGGCGCGCCCATCCCTTACCTATAGTGGTGATGACCGTGATGGCAAAGTAGAAGGAGCCGGCGAATTTCCACTGGACGCCGGCGCGGTGCGGCTCCGACTGCAGGATCACCAGCTCCAGCTGCCGGTAGTCCTCGGCGCTGATGTTGTACTTCCCCTTGATCCGGATCTCCTCGGCTTTGAGTTTCTCCTCCTCGCGCATCTCGTGGTCCGACTCGAGGGCGTCGAAGACGGCGGCGCCCACCAGCAGGTAGGTGAAGGTGCAGACGATGAGGGACAGAGTCCGCACGTTCTGCCTCTTCATGGCCGCCAGCAAGGAGCCGGCGCGGGGGGCATGTCCCGCAGGCTCGCAGCCGCGCGCGTCCCACTGCAGCGCCCGGCGGCCGCCGCCGCCTCCTCCGCCGCCGCCGCCGCCGCCTCCAAGTTGTAAGCGGCGGCGGCAGCAGCAGCAGCAGCAGCAGCAGCAGCGGGGAGGCGGGGGGCGGGGAGGCTGGGGGGGCCCCCCTCCGCCGGGGCAGCCACAGCCGCCGCCACCGCGAGGCGGCTGGCGGGGCAGGGGCGGCGCGGGCCCGGGCTCGGGCGAGAAGGCGGACAGGCACAGGAGGCTGCTCGAGCGCCGGGGCCAGGCGTCCGGGAACCCCGACACCCTGCGCCAGACCCGGCCGAAGCAGCCCGCCCCACTGCGCAGGGCCATGCACGGCGGCCCCGCTGGGCACCGCGCGGGCCGCGCTGCCCTCCGCACCCCGCCCCCCGCTCCCGCCGGAAAAGCAGGGGCGGGAGCGGGAGCCGGAGCGCGGCCGGAGGGCGGCCGCCTGGGCCCGCGCCCCTCCGGGTCCCGCTCCCGGGCGGCGGCGCCCAGCTAGGAGCCCGCAGGTCTGCGCGCGCCTCGCGGGACCTCCTTCCCCTTCAGCCCTCCTCGCCCCCCCCCTCGAGGGGGGGTGGAAAAGTTTGCGAAGTGGCGGCGTCTCCGGAGTCCCCAGCAGGCGGGGAGGGGGCCGAGCAGGTGCAGCGGGCGGGGCAGCCGGATGCCCGAAGGTCCGAGAGCCCCGCGCCCACCCGGCCGCGCAGGGGCGCGGCGGGGTCCCCGCCGGGCGTCGGCCGGTCCGCGAAGTTTGCTCCGCTCAGCCCCCGAGGCGCGGGAGCGGGGCGCGGCCCCAGGGCGGCAGGGCCCGCGGCAGAGCGGCCTCGGGGGCGGCCGGGGGACTGCGCGGCGGCGGTCGGCCAGCCCGCTCCTCCGGGGGCGGCGGGCGAGGCGGAGGCGGCGGCGGTGGCGGGAGGGGTCCCGCGGGCCTCGCGGAGCTGCGGGATGGGCGCGGGCGCATGAGCCGCGCCGGGGTCGGGGCCCTCCGGCGTCCGGGCGTCCGGGGAGGCGGCCGCTGCGCTGGTCTGTCAGGGGCGCTGCGTGCGTGCGCGCCGGAGGGAGCCGAGTGTGTGTGCGTGTGTCTGTGCGTATGTGTGCCCGTGTGTGCCCGTGTGTGTGTGTGCGTGTGTGTGTGTGTGTGTGTGTGTGTGTGAGCGCGCGCGCGCGCCCGCGCGCGCGCGTGGCACCTCGCTCCGGCGGGAGGGCCGCGGGGGGCGGGGGCCGGGCTACGCGGAGGCCAGGCCTCCCTCCCTCCCTTCCACCCTCCCTCCCGCAGCCTCCCGGGCGCGCCACCTCCCGCCTGGTCCCCAGCCAGCTGGCGAGGCGGCCGCGGCGGCTCCGCTGCAGACCGAGCGCGGCGCGCGGCGCACGCGGAGGGAGCCAGGGAGGGGCTGCCGGTGCCGCTGGGGAGGGGGCGGAGGCGGGCTGAGGCCTGGGTGTTGCCAGAGTGGGGGTGGGAGGCGGAGCCACCAGCAGGTTTTGGCGGGGGATGGGAGGATAAATGAGGCTGCTCCGGTCCTTGTCGCCCAGCTCCCCGAGAGCGCCTGCTGCCACGCGAGGCGGACAGTTTGGGAGAACCGTGCCTGGGGGAGGAAACGGGATTCAGCCGGAGAAGGCCGACCAGCAGCTTAAGGGAGAGGAGAGATCGGGGCGGGCGGGGGGGGGGGGGGGGGGGGGCGAGGGCACGGGGGGAGGGCGTTCCCCGGGGCCAGCCACCTGGCGCGGCCGCGTGTCCCTGCCGGGGCGCACCTCCTCATCGCGCGCTGGGGTCCCGAGGGCCGCCTCAGTCCCCGCGAGCGTCGCTGGACAGGTGGCCCAGCACCTGCTGATCCAGAGCTCTTAACCGGAGAGTGCTGAGCATGGCACCGGCCGCCACTCTTGGGGTCCGGGCCTCAGGGAAGGATGCCGCATTCCCCCTTCCTTGCCCCTCCCCGATGCTTTTCCCAGAAACATTCCTCGGTTCCCCGAGGCTGGGCGCCGGGTGTACCCAGAACATGATCCTGGCCCCTCCTCCTGCACACGGCGCCTCGCGATGGCTCCACTCCCGACCAGCCCAGGGAGGGAACCCCAGGCTCCCGCAGGGGCGCAGCTCTTCTTTGAATCGGAAGACCGGCTTTATCCTCTTCCCACATCAGCCACCTTTGCCCGCTTCCCTCAGTCCCCCTCAGGTCGTCGAGGAGTTTCCCTCGATCACCGACCCCCTTAACCCTCACTTGAGCGGTGGAGCTCCCAATGGGTAGGCTGAAGGCGCCGAGACCCAGGGCTCCCCTTCCCTGGGTCTGGCGACCTTCCTTGGACCCCAGCCAAAGAAGAAGTGGAGACTTGGGGAAAGGGACGCCCCCCGGCGGCGGTCCAAGACAGCGGGCAGGAGTGGCCGAGGGCACCGCAGAGTAGGCCAGGGAATGGACCCAGCCTTGCGCAGCTGGCTGGCTCCGGAGCGCTGACCCCTCTGGGTCGCCCCCTCGGGCGCTGCTCCGGGCTCCCCATCCGCAGGCACTGGGGGCCAGGCGAGTCTGGGAACCCTATGCCTCACGGAGGCTCCCCTGCTGGGGCGCTGTCCACCCTGTTTCTGAGACTCGTGGGTGCTTGCGCCCCCTGCCCTACGGACAAGTGGGCCCGAGCTGGGGGCCACATCCGGGCTGTCGGGTCGACGTTGGGTCCGCCGGCGCCGTTAGGCACAGGGAACGGGAGTTCCCCCTGATGCAGGTGCTCCCCTGGAATTCACGTTGGAAACCGAGGCCCCTGCGCTAGGCGAATGCGCCTGGCCGCCCGGTGAGTCACCGTGAGCGGGCGACAAGGATTCCCGCAGCTGGTAATTAATCGCGCCGTGGCTCGGCCCACGAAGGAACCCCAGTTGGGCCTCCTGGCGCCCTGCAGCAGCGCCACCCCTGAGTCACAGCCGTCGGGCCTCGGCCGTCCGGAAGCCGCCCGCCCGCCCCGGCGCCGCCAGGGGGCACTGGACTCCGACCCACAGGTGTCCCCGCTCTGAGCCGACTCCGCAGCGGAGTCCAGGCTGTCCTGCCCGCGGGGGCGGGGGCGGGGGCGGGGCGCGCCGGGACGCTCTCCAGAGACAGACCCCAAGCTCTGTGGAGAGCCACTCTCGGTTTCCACACAGCCTTGCTGGAAAACGGCACCGTTTGTGAGCGCCTGGAAGGGACTTGGGAGAGTAACTCGTCCCAACTGCTTGTCTTGCAGATGGGAACACGGCCGACGGAGAGAGTCACGGGCCCGGGGCTTCCGTCCAGCACCTCCTTCAACAGCTCCAGCTGCCTTCTGACCCCAAAGTCACAGCGCCTTGGATAGCACAGCCCAACCTCTCCAAAAACAAAACAAAACAAAAACCTTGGTTCTTCCTTTTCTTCCAAAATATGGCCTTTGGACTCAAAAGAAGCCCAGAAAGCCAGACTTCAGGGAGCGATCTTGAGGGCTGGAGGAGGACACACACGCTCCCACACAGCCCTCTCTGCACCCCACATCCCTCCCATGGTCTTGACCTACAGGTGGAAGCGAGCTCCGTGAAGCAGAACCTGGCTCTTGCGAGTCTTCCCAGCACTGTGTCCCCAGCGCTCTCCGCCTCACTCGCTCAGCTAGCAGTGTGGGCTGGTACCACTTGACAGGCCACAAAGAGGTTAGAGCAGTGACCATGCCTCTGGGGAGCCCAAGCCCCTCTCTACTTCCACTGTTCTGGGAGCACCAGCTCCAGCCCAGATAGGAGTGGATCTGGAGCTCCGCTGTGGCCAATGAGAGCCCAGGATTCCCCCTGGCCCCACAGGTTGGCTGGGCGGGGCTCAGCTCCCAACCAATGAGGAGCTCCCTGGGAAAGCATCTCTAAGAGGAGCTAGGGCGAAGTAGGGGGCGGGGGGCAGGAAAGCACCTCCTCACCCAAGAAAGAGATGCCTGATTTGGGGCAGCAATGCATTCTCTGTGCAACTTAGGCCACTCAGGGCTGACCAGTGCCACTGGCGTCCTGTCTGTGCTCCTTCAGTGGTCTGTCACTGGGCCTCCCTGGACCTCAGTGTCATCTTTCGTAAAAACAGATGCCTTTGATCAGATACTAAAGAACATCATGGTTCATAACTCTCTCTCCTGCCTACTCGTTGGCTAGGTTCTCTACATGCGTTGGGCATGTTCTTAGCCTCTAGGGGCTAAGGAGTATGACCCCATCTTATCCAGAGAAGCCAAGCAGTGTTTTCTAGCCCCACTTGGTGAGTTGGAGTGGAATCGACTCCCAGCCCGGCCCTTCCGCAGCAGCATTCCGTGAAACCCATCCTGCTGCTGGCCGAAGGCAGGGAGCTACAGTGTGCTGGCCGGGCTCCCGGGCTGGTGCCCGTGTGCCTCTGGGCACACTCATCAGTGCTGGCCCAGGACTGATGGCCGAGGCTTCCAGATCATCATATCTCCGTGGTGCTGCTCACGCCTTGACGTGTTGACGCCCCCATCTTTGAAAAGAGGCAGAGGAGGCAGAATCGTTGCCCCCATTTTACAGATGAGAAAGGTGAGGCAGTAAGCCCCGTGGGCCCCAATCACAAATAGAGAGAAGAGAAAGCTGTGATGGGATCCTCCCCTTTCCCTGGGGGCCCATGCCAGCACTCTGGGTTCCTCCCTGCACCCCTAGCCTTACCAGCCCTCACTGATGGCTCATGGGCCATGACGCCTGCTGTAGACAGCATGTCTGCATGTGAAGCCCCCAGCAGGGGCAAATGCCAGAGGGAAGCACTCTGTAACCAGCAGCCAGGTCCATCAGGAGCTTGCCAGACTCTTTGGGATATGAATAAGCATGTCCCCGGGGAAGTGTCTCTGGCCACACTGGGGATGCTGGTTCAACGGGACAATTCAGGATTTCTCAGAGCCCTCAGTCTGCCAGCAGGCACCATGGGCCCAGACAGGAGTGCTGTGAACAGCACTTCCCAGATTCGTTGGATCACGGAATCTGCCTCTGGGTA